TTGTACATTTCATCTAGATAATCCAATTTGTTGCTCAATTGTTCATAGTCTCTTACAATAAACCCTTTTTTTTTTTGAGTCCTGTCTACATTTCTCTTAGTCAATATAGCTGTTTGGACATTTTTTTTCCATTTTTTCAGAAAAACAACTTTTGCTGATTTTCTCTACAGCTTTTCTGTTCTCAACTACATTACTCTCTAACATTTTTTTAGGTTTACTTTGCTTTGTTTCTAGTTCATGAAGTGCATGTGACTGACCCCTGGCAATGCCAGCCTCAGGATCACCATCTCTAGGTTATGGCTGACCAGATAGCTGAACACTTACAGACTGGAGTGGCCCAGGCCAGCACAACCCCCGCCCCCCAGCATGCCAGCACAGGTCACCACAGACTCTGGTCTACGGATGAGCATGATGCGTGACAGTTGACAGGCCAGCCTGGAACTCTGTGGACCACCTGCTGCCTTAGGTACTTTTTGCTTTCCAGGACCCTGAGGACTAGCTGACCCTGGCCAAGGAACACAGCCAATGGGCATGGTGCCCTGCCTGCAGCCAGGCATTTCCCTCACCCCTGCACAGCTATGGGTCACTGCCCCCATGCCCACAGGCACGACAGAGCACTCACTCACACACTGGGTCTGATGACTGCAGTTCCCTCCTCACGTCTGCATCTGCCCACAACCCTCCCAAGGGTCCCCACTGCTTCGCACTGCTCCAGACTTTTTCAGCGTAGATGGAATCTCAGATTCTACCGTCAAGGCCAATGGTGAGCGAGAGTCCTGTCCGCCCTTCCCCCAGGAGAGGAGAGGCCCCCTTCAAGGACCTCACTCTTCACCAGGTGCGGAGGGGCAGCCGAGTCCCACCGATACTCTCTGGTGCCCCTGCAAATGCCAGGCACCAGGGGTCTGAGACCACAGGAGATGCGGCCGGTGGGAAGGGACGATTTCAGAAGAGGTGAGAGGGTAATTGAATTTTTGTACAACAGGTTAAAAAAAAAATCTTTACTGATTTGGACAATATTGGTCATAAATATCAAAAGCTACACTTTGAATTCTACATTAAAATCCTCTTTCTACCATAGCTGGGAGTTGTGATTTTGTTTTCGTTTTCTGTTTAAAAGAAACACAGACCCACTCCTCACTCAGTAGATAGTCTTGCAGGCTTATCAGCTTATTAGGTGAGAGAAGCGAGGAGGGCCAGCTACATTGCTCTGGGGGCTCTGAGATACCCCAGGTGCCCCTTGCTCAGAGGACACGTCAGTGTTGGGACCCTGGACAAGAGCAGAGACGGCCCCCCAGAATCCTGGCATTTAGAGGTTGAAGGTACTTTCTCAGCACAGCAACCACTAAAACTTGAGAGCCTTTAAAAATAGTGCTTGCCAGGACCATTTCCTTTCTCAGGACAGTAGCTGCTCCAATTGGGGAAGATGGAACACACTCTGCTTCTCTTGCTGAGATTTCTTCTGACCACCGATTGAGAAATTGTGGTATTCAAGATCGAACTCCGGAATTTCCTCGGCCGAGTGGGGAAAATCATACAAAAGCAAAAACAAAACAATAAACGAAGCAGGTGAGAATGTGCAACGTGGCCAGAGGAAGATTACTTGTAAGTGGACTAAGGGCAGGCAGGACTTGACCTCCATAACCCTCCCCAAGGGCCTCACAGCCAACCCTTTACCTAGATTTATTTTTTTATTATATGTTCAGTTAGCCACTGTGTAATACACTATGTGTTTTTTGATGTAGTGTTCCACGATTCATTAGTTGCGTATAACACCCAGTGCTCATCACAGCACGTGCCCTCCTTAATGTCCATCACCCGCTACCTTATCCCCCCACCCCCCTCCCCTCTGAAACCCTGTTTGTTTCCCGGAGTCCAGAGTCTCTCATGGCTCGTCTTCCTCTCTGACTTCTTCCCAGTTTTCCCTCCCTTCCCCTGTGGTCCTCCACGCTATTCCTTATGTGCCACATGAGTGAAACCATACAATAGACTTTCTCTGCTTGACTTATTTCACTTAGCATAATCTCCTCCAGTCCCATCCATGTGGATGTAAAAATTGGGTAGTCATCCTTTCTGATGGCTGAGTAATATTCCATTGTATATATGGACCACATCTATTTTTTTTAAGATTTTATTTATTTATTTGAGAGAGAGAGAGCATGAGAGGGAAGAGGTTCAGAGGGAGCAGCGGACTCCCTGCTGAGCAGGGAGCCCAATGCGGGACTCGATCCCGGGACTCCAAGATCATGACCTGAGCCGAAGGCAGTCGCTTAACCAACTGCGCCACCCAGGTGCCCCCATATGGACATCTTTATCCACTCATCTGTTGAAGCGCCTCTTGGCTCTTTCCACACTTTAGCTACTGCGGACATTACTGCTATGAACGTTGGGGGGCAGGTGCCCCTTCTTTTCACTACGTCTGTATCTTTGGCTTTACCTAGATTTAAACCCTCCTGGGGTTGTCTCTGACCTGACCCCCTTTTCCTGTTGGCTTCTTATCCAGGGTAAAGACTTGTGATGCAGAATTTAGACCCAAAGCTGCAACTCAGTCCATAAGCATCCCTGCTCCCTGTACACAAGGAGTTCCAGCATCACCACTATCTATGCCTTGCACAACTGTTCACCCCAGAAACGCCCACCCCATCAGGTACACCGTGGTCACTCCTGTCTGGCTGAGACCTCATGACTGTGTCCTGGTTACGTCATGGGGGTGCAAACTTTTCCCACGAGGAGGTGGAAAAATGCAGCCTGAGCAGAGGGGTGCTACCAGAAATGATGATCCACGGGCAGCACGCAACTGCCTCACCAATGAAACACTGGAATGGTTCCAATCCAGGTGGCAAACACACACGCCCTGAGCTTGCTGGAGTGCCCTTCCAGGTCCTTCCCCAGGACGAAGAGCTGAAGGGCAAGCCAGGCAAGCCAGGGAACCTCCAGTGCACCTGGTCACATACTGCCGACATCTTCCCCTGAAGAGACAGCCTGCAGAGGCAAGAGACAGGTGAATGATGGGGACAATGCTGAGTTAGCCCCTCCTCCTCAACGGCTGCAACTGGACACACAGCACGGGGCAGAAGCTAGAGCAACATGGAGCAAGCAGCTACTGGACCACACGTGGCAGTTCTGGGTGGTTTAGTGCGTTGGATGGTACAGCATGAACGCGCAAGGAACTGATGAATCGCCGTGTGTGCAGCGGTCACGGGTTCGCACCATGAACACACAAGCACCACTTGATGGCACACCACGGCTGTGCAGACGGGAACTACAAGCAGCAGAACGATGCCAAGTTTGCACCTGGCCTGTGAGTGTGCAGTGAGACATTGTCTACTAGCACCAAGTGGGTGTGCTAGAACCAAAAGCCTGATGATGAGAACAGGAGCAAATGTGAGGCACTGTAGGTGTGCAGGGGGCATTGGATCGCACATGGCAAGTGTGCACACCGTGCACCTGAGAGTAGTGTGAGTACCAGCATTTGAGGGACATGTGGGACGCGTGGGAGGAGCGAGGACATGGTAGAGCAGGAGTTCCAGGGGTGGAGGCTGACAGGACACGTGTGCAAGGGGTGACTGCTGAATAATGCGGTGTGTGCCACGGCACGGCTGGACAGCACACAGGGACGTGTGCAGACACAACTGTCCGATGGCAGTGGGGGGGGGGTAGTACTACACACGGGGAGGTTGTGGGACTGCCCGCGGCTCCTGGGCAAGGAGCAGATGCTGGGCGTCGAGGTGGGCACGAGACAGAGCAGTGTGCCTGCTGAGTCCCTGCGAGCACAGGGGAGTGACTTATGTTGGTCAATTCGACACATCGACTTGGCCAGGCCACGGTGCCCAGCTGTTTGTTCAAACGCCAGTCTCCATGCTGCTGTGAAAGCATCCTTTAGATGTGATTAACTCTGAATTCCACGGACCTTGATAAAGCAGATCATCCCCCACAATTTGGGCGAGCCTCATCCAGTCAGTGGAAGGCCTTAAGGGCAAGGACAGAGGTTCCCCAAAGAAGCAATTCTGCCTTCAGACTTCAACACACTAACCCTGAGTTTGCAGACTTTGGACCCTAGACCACAAAGTCCACTCTCCCCTCAGTCCCTGGCCTGCTGGCCTGCCCTGCAGATCTCACTCACCAGCCCCCACCGTCTCTCGCTCTATTCTGTGGGTTCCATTTCCCTGGAGAACCCTACTACTGTCACTGTCGAGTGGCACACGGAGTGCAGAGTGGCTGTGAACCAAGCACCGACTGCTGGTGGCCTAAGATGGCCAGCACATGTGAAGGGTGGGAGAGGGACTACGGGGGGCTCTGGACACCTGGGGCAAGGTCCAAGCCCTCACTGGGGCCTGGGGGGCACAGGCAGTGCTGTCACAAATAAGAGGGACATAAAATCACGGGTGCCAGCCGACCCTGAGGGGCCCCTGAACAGTGCACCTGTAACGCCTAGGGGCCTGCATGAGGGACAAGGTATGAGGTCTGGCCTGGTGCCCGGACCATACAGACATCTTTGGCTCCGGACTCTGGATGGGGGCTAAGGGGAAGCACAGGCCAGTAGGGGGACGGCAAGCTCTATGTAAATAGTGGTTCTCCTGTGGGATAGACACAAGAGGTCCTGGGCCCCAGAATGTCGGGCCTACACAAGGAGGGGCTTGCTCCAGGGCAAGATGGAGCCGAGCAGGGGCATGGTCCTACTGCAGAGGGAACCGTGCAGGACAAGCCAGCTGCCTCACACTGCTGTGGATGGGAGGCCTATGGGCTGGGATGCTGGTCCTTGCTGAGGGAAGGCTGGGGGCACCAGGAATCCCAACCACATGCTGCCCCCATGCCTGAGTCCCCAGCACACTCCGGGCCTTCTGGCTGCAGATCTCACTTAGCAGGACCTCCCCACCCACCCTCTCACTGGATCCAGAGCACTCAGCCCTGGCTAAGTCTCATGAAGACAGGGAGCCCAAACCCTCTGCACAGGCATCAGGGTCCCGGGGATGCCAGTGGACAGTCAGGACAGTACCACACCCTTAAGAGCACCTGAGGCCACGAGGCTCCGCGGGAAGGTGACCTGTCCCATGCCACACAGCAGCACAGAGCTTTATTTCTGGAAGGCGCTGTGGAAGAGACTGCCTGCCTTCCGTGCCGGTGCCTCGGGGCCCCGCCTGATGCAAGCCTCATGCCCTAAAGAGAGGCAGTGGCAGCCACAACCTCCTCCAGCTGCTGGAGGAGCTCCCCCGGCTGCAGTGAGAACACGCTAGTGTCCACTCTCTGGAAGTCGGGGTGGGCCACCACGGAGGCCAGCACCTCTGCAATCCGGCTGACATCAAAAGCAGCCTGCTGGGGGCCCAGCCCCCTGCCCGCACTGCCCTCCATGTCACCAGAGCCCAGCTCTTTCGTCAGAAGCAGCAGCCTCCTTTCAGCGATGATCTTGAGGAAGTGGTAAAATTCTTCAAAATTGATCCCGGAGCAGGACCTCATGATGACCTGGCCAGAGAGGAGCACCAGTGAGCCGCGGCTTGCTCGCAGCGCCAGGCAAGTGTCTGAGGACTATGGGCAGGGCCCAGTCCCAGAGGATGGGAACAGAGATACCCGGGAGCCAGCCAGCGATGGGTCTGAGTCCTGCAACCTGGAAGCCCCAGTGACCTGCCTCAGGACCACACCGACCTTCACACGGGCAGGCTGGCGGCTACCACGTCCCCAAAGCCACAGCTCTGAGCTTACGGAACAGGCCCTCCTCTGAGAATGCAGGCTGCCCTGAGGGCTGCCCCACGCCCTCCCCACCCTGCAGCCCTGGCCCTGCAGAGCCCCTCCCAGTCCTTCCCTCCTGCCCAGGCTGGCCCACCTGGCAGTGATGGTCCCAGTCAGGCATAGTGTCCCTCCACTGGCTGACCTCCTGCTGCACGGCCCGGAGCTCTTGCTGCAGGAAGTGCCACATATTGGCCAGGTTACAGCCGTTGACCCAGTTGTGGTTGATGGAGATGGTGTCCTCCTGGAAGGGGTGGGGTGTGGGTGTCCCCATGAGTCCACACCAGACCATCCCCCAGCCCTGTCCTGAGGTCCTTGCAACCCTCCTCGGCCAGGAAGGGCTGCTCCTGTCTCCCGGTAGGTGCTAGCATAAAGACGGGGCTGGATCCTTCTGAGTGCACAGCTAACCAAGAGCAGGGCTCCCAGGGAAGCTCCACGGTGTAGAAGGACCCACTGCTGCCCAGGGAAGAAACGGGGGCTGGTGGCCCTTCTCCGGTCCGTGCAATCCCATACCCAGGCTCTCTAGGGGGCAGCCTGCCCACTGTGGGATCAGGAGGGGTACGCCTGGCCCTCTCTCTGTGGAAAGGCATCTAAGAATGTGTCAAGGGTGAGGAGTGTGCTGGGTAAGCCGAGGGGCAGATCAACCGGAGATGGACGCTCTGGGCTTGGGGTCAGACCAGTGGGACCCCAGGGCGTCTCCCTGACCTGCCTGGGCCGCATAGCACGCACATGCGGTGGGCTCTGCCCACCCTACCAGGTTGTGGACTTGGTGGTGCCACCCGCTGGGCACGAAGACCATCTCGCCTGCCTCCTGCGTGAGCTCCAGGGGTGGGCTGCAGTGCTTGCGCATGGGGTACAGGCGGCCGTCGAGCAGCGCGGGCGAGGTCACGTCGTAGGGCAGGCCACCGTGGCAATCCCGAAGGGCTTCTTCTTGCCCCGGAGGGAAGAAGAACCACCTTTTCCTCCCGCAGATGTTGACAGACCAGCTGAAGGAGCGGAAGATGTCGGCGTGGAACGGTGACCTGTGTGAACCCTCCTGTCGGTGCCTACTGAACCAGAGGTGGCCTGGCGCTTCAGAAAGGCTGGCTGAGCACACGGGCCCCAGGGGCCCCAGCGCTCACACCTCCCCCATCTCAGAGCCCCCAGGGGGCAACGGAGGCATGGAGGCTTGGAAAGGGGACGGCCGGCAGCCTTCCCCACGGCCTAGGCATCTCTGAGAGGCTCTGGCAGAGGGCACAGGGTTGAGGAGAGCGTGTGGGGCAGGGACAAGGCGCAGAGAGGAGGCTGGGAGGGACGCACGGTACCAGGTGCCCGCGGGCCCCATGTAGACAAAGCGGTAGTCGTCCACGTCCAGGACGTCCCAGTACTCGTTGAGCCAGTCGGACGAGAAGTACGCAGGGAGGGTGAAGGGGGGGGGGGGGGGGGGGGCCCTGCGGGGCGTGACGGGGGGGCCTGCGGGGCGTGACGGGAGGGCCCTGCGGGGCGTGATGGGGACCCTGCAGCGCGTGACGGGGGGCCTTGCGGGGCGTGACAGGGGGCCGGGGCAGGAGCGGCCACCTTCTGGCCCCTGTGCCCCGAGCAGGAGACGACCAGAGGTATGGAAGGACACGGATGACGCTGAGCTGCCCTCCGCAGCCGGCGTCCACAGTGAGGCTGGCCACCCTGCGCAAGTCCAGCCAGCACATGACCACAGGCCCAAGCGACCCCACCTGAGCCCCGGGCGAGGAACGAACCCCCGTCGTAAACAGAGGAAACGACGTTGGGGGTGTTGTGATGCCACTCAGATGACCCGTGCAGGCAGCACCGCCATTGTTCCAGACCCCTCTTGCGCCAGATCCGGAATTCCAGCCTCTGGTTGAGCTGGTGCTCTAAGTGCCTCATCTGCATCACGCTGTTCTCCAGAACCTGTGGGCCTCGTCCACGCTCTCGCCCCGCCAGTGACCTCGAGTCTGCCGAGTGGATGCCCAACCAGTGGCCCAAGCACTATGGCCCATGTCCACTGAGGTCCTTCTCCCCTACCCCACAGCCCCCCACTCCTCCTGGTCCAAAAGCCTGATCCCCGCAACCAGAAAAATGCCCCCCCACACACACACAGGAGCACACCAACCCAGCTCCAGAAAGAGTGAGCTCTCCCAACGACGCACTGGAACAAGCTTCTGAGTAGCTCACACATCACTCATGGTCAGAGGCCATGATCAGGGAGAGCCCGAGGAGCACCAAACCACGTGTAGTACCCCAAAACGCCATGCCTCTGCAGGATGTCAGACTCCCACTTATCCCTCAAATCAGGTATCACGGCCCCTAGAGCCGTCTCTGCCTCTCTGGCCTCCCTCTGCTCTGTTTGTTCTGGGGTTTCCAGGGAAAATATATAATATTCAGTCAAAACTGACCTTCAAACGACGGACAGGAACGTCCCGTGTAACACCTATAACACACTTGTTGCCTATTTGAAGCCCACGCCCACCGTGCAGGAGCACTGGGTCTAGGAGTCCTATGTGCTGCTGGATCAAGAGTCCCTGGGGGCCACAACCAGGGTCTGGGTGTCCCTGGTCCACCCCCTGGGGCGAGCTCTCACTGCCAGACAAGACGCTGTGAGGCTGGGAGCATCCACGGCATGCCGGTGCGAGACGCTCTTGGATGGGTCTTGGGAATCGCAAGCGAGTGACTCACTGTAATATCCCTAGTTTCCACATCAGCAAAACAAGAATTCAATCGTTCACTCATTTATACAAAACTCTTCAAGCCCGTACTGTGCCCTATACCAGCTGGTTAGGGTGTGAGGAGGATGGTCTCTGCCTGTGACCAGCACACTGCTGGGTAGGGGAATGGACACAACCCAAGGACCCCCTCTGAGCAAGGGAACCAAGCAGACGGGGTGTGGCTGCCCACGAGTGTGAGATATGTCCCTGAGGCCCCTCGTTGGAGCTCCCAGGGTGGAAGAAGGGTGTGGTCGAACCACAGAAGGCCTCCTTGGACAGGGCAGGAGAGCCGCTGGTCCGTGACGGAGATGCTACACAGCTCGGGCACAGCCTTGCTGGGAAGACGGCTGAGAATGTGAGCGAGCTGAGCAGGGTGGAGCGGGACTTGGGGCAGCCAGGGTGAGTGAGACCTGGCCTGAGCTGGAACAGCGGGCAGCGGACAGGAAAGCCACAGCTAGGTACGACCCGTCAGAGGGCGTGCAGCCCGCAAGGATGGGTCCAGCAGCCAGGACACACGGGAGAGGCGGCCTCGGCCCACCTGGGTTCCCACCTGACGCAGCGTGGCTAGCCCGGCGATGGGGAGAACCTCCAACCACGCTGCGGGAGCCAGATTCGTGCGCGCACTGCAACTCCTACCCGGGGAAACGACACGCTGCTTTGTGCGCTCCGCCCCCTTTACCTGCACAGGTGCCAGTCCTTGAGGTAGAGGCAGCCGCGCGGAGAGGAGTAGCCCCCCTGGATGTAGTCTTTCCAGTAGCTGATGTAGTCTCGGAGGAGCATGTGCTCCTTGGGGTTGGAATTGTACTCCCGGACCCCGCAGTTGGCCACAGGGACGACCACGTCTCCTGAAACGAGAGGCCGTCGGACGTTGCGCGCCCTCCCCCGGACGGCTGCGGCCCCCCAGCCCTGGCTCCTCGCGCGCGCTCCGCACTTACCGTAGTTCCGCAGCAGGTGCTCGAAGGCCGGCTTCCCGCCCGGCGTCACCCAGCGCCTGCGGCTGCCCCAGCCCTCGGTGAAGGAGCTGGAGAAAACGCACGGCACGTTGGGCAGCAGGTAGCCCTTGAAGAAGTCGGCGTAGGAAAAGGAGTCCGGGCTCTCGATGAAGTCCACGCGGCCCGGCGTCGCGCCCACCCCGCCCGCGGGCCGTCCGCGGAGGCGTCGGAAGTGGCTCTCGGCGAACGCGCGCGTCTCCCTGTCCATCCCCGGCCCGGCTCGGCGCCCGCGCTGGACGACAGGGCGGCGGGGGACGCCCGGGTCCCGGGGACGCCGCAGCCCGGCGAGGGGCGTGGGCCCGGCACCCGCCTCCGGCCTCCAACTTCCCTGCTCTTCAAACGGAGAGATGAAAAGGAAGTACTTGCTACAACTGCTTCCGGAGCAGGCGCTGGAGCGGGCACAGGCTGCTCCCCAGCCTCCGTGCCAGCCGGAGCGAGAACCGCGCGGCACAGGCTCTCGGAGCTTGCGGTCGGCCTGGCGCGGCCGAGCGGAATCGAGAGAATGCGGCCAGAGTTCCTGCCGGAGTACGAATCCCGGCGCGCCTGGCCCTGGACGCACGCGCATAGCAGCCTGCGGCCCTCGTTCTGCGCAGGCGCGGGAGCGTCCCACAGCGCCTCTGGAGCGGCTGGCTGGTCTGTCCGGCGTCGGAAGCAGCGCCAGACCCGAGTGTGGCCGTCTTCGCACCGCCCCAGTGACACAGGTAAGCGGCGCCCCCAGTCTGCGGTCGGGCCTGTGCTAGAGTCCTCCCGACCCTCTCCCGGCTCAGTCCCGCCTGCTACTGCTGCCGCGATGAGAACCTCTCCTGTTCTGACAGAGAGGCCCCGGGGCCAAAGGTGGGGTCCCGGGGAATGCTGGGGGCCCAGGGGGATGCTGGGGGCCCGGAGGGGATGCTGGGGGCGCGGAGG